CACATCATCAAACGGATGGACGTAGCCAGCCGGATTCAAGGCGTCGAGAGCAACCTACTTATCCCAAAGCTCCTCAAGTTCCGGAACGTGGACCTCCCCCTACATATGTCCTCTCATGCCGCAACGAGAAGCCCTGGTCGGGAGGACCCACGAGAGCACACGAACTGGTCTGGTTATCGTCCTTCAATACCTCAAGAGCAGCCTACACCCCCTTCACAGTCTCCTCGCGCGCAGGAGCGAAGGCCTCCTCCAGGGCCTCCAGGGCTTCAAGAGCGACCCACATCCTCTCCGCATACTTCTCGCCTACATGAAAGACGGCCTCCTCCAGGGCCTCCAGGACATCAAGAACGGCCCACATCCCCTCCACAGACTCCCCGTTCCGAACGACGGCCTTCTCCAAATGACAGTCATGCTCACAATAGAAATGATGATCGTCGTCTCGTTGAGGTCACTTTTCCACCTGCAGTCGAAACTACGACGACAACAACCACCACGCCCGCCCCGGCAACCCGACCACGACCTGAACTCATGGAGATTATCCGGTGAGATACAGCAACGTACGTGGATTTTGTATAGGGTTCAAAATACGTACGTTATTTTGTCTGAATCTTATTGGACTACTTTAGGCCAACTGAGACCACAATATCACGGCCGAAGGTGGACTTCGATGAAGTGATGGCGATAGATGCGCAGGCTGAGGATGACTACGAAGAGCCTGCCGATGACCTAAGTGATAGTGACATGTATATTGGCTCTGTAGAGGTTGGGCGTTCTCACTGACGCGATTTGCGGACGTCTTCTAACATTTTCATCCTGGATCGGACGCTTTTCATATCGAATTTAACACTTTTCAGATAAAGTGACACTTTTTCAAGTGAATTGACACTTCGGGTGCTCTCATTTTACCCGAACAGCATCATCTCCACTCACCTAGATACTATTGAAGCCCGCCTTCGCACTGCGTCACTCATACGCGATTTTCACGGTTTTTTATGATTTTCATGCAGATGGCGCATTATGCGGTAAACACTATTACTGCCCTTTCAGCATCACTTTTGCGTAATTGCGAATTTTGGTCTTCTACAGAGTTTCAGTCATCTGAGGCAGGTCTGCGCCTATTAAGAGGTTAGTACGTCCCACTTCATAGAAGGCCCGCCTCACTTTCGTAGACCCTCATGAGAGAATAAGGCTCAGTAGTAGGCCATGTCTCGTTTCGTCACGCGGGCACTATATTGGGCGAGCATACCATAGCAAGAAATTGAATTCGTCCGGAAAAAAAGTGGGAAAAGTTGAGGATAGCTGGCCGACGCGATGCCTACTGTCGTATTATAATGCTCAGTTAATTTGCCGCTTGTGACATTCTGCTCGAAGGTGTTGATTTGGTCAGAAAAATGTCAGTTGGAGATAAATGTCAGTCTGAGATGAAAATGGTATATACGGCTGCATATTCTATTATTCAAATCCGACTTGGACCGAAAAGTTTTCTTGTTCAGGTCGATGACGAGCCACCGTCTACACCACCACCGCCGCCTACGAATCCACCTGCACCACCCACTCGTCCACTTTCCACTATCCGGCCGATAGTGCTTCCACCTGCCGGGCATCCTCAACCTTCTCTTCACGAGAAGGATTCGACGAGAGCATCGCGTGTAACAGTAGACCCACGGTATCCTCAAGAACGGCCCTCTTCAGAGCGTCGGCCGCACGTTCCCCTCGTTCAGCCTCGTGAGTCACAGTTTTTAGACCTTATTTGTAGAACAACTACGGCTCAGAGTGCTCAGGCAAAGATTTCTCAGAATAATCAATTCGTGCATAATCGAGCGGGCATTCGTTTTTCTGACTTATGTGTTCTACCCAGGACAAGTCATGCATTGGGCTCGGGGGGGGGGGGGTCATATTTGCTTCCGAGGACAAGGTTTTCGGTGGCTGACTTCTCTCGATTTTCACTGCTCTGAAAGCGCTACAAATTCGGCGCTTGATGGCTCAGAGGAGGAACTTTTGAGGGCGTAGGTGGGCAGAGAATCGTTTTTGGCGAAACAAATCATAATGGCAAGATGTAGCTTAATTTTAAAACGCGATCTCATGGAGTGTTGCGAGCTTAAAGACAGCTCCCGCGATAAAAGTGTCAAGGATAATTGCTGATCAATTATGAAACAGTAGCTGATAAGTAATTCCTCAATGAAGGAAAAAAGCAACAAGAGCCCTCAAGAACACCACAAACAAAATTGCTCCCTTACAGTTACACCGCCCTGCGGTCCGTGGGCAACCCCTGGCTCACAAATCGCTTTATGGCATTTCCCAGTAGTGGACAACATCCATTTCAAAGAAAACAATATGAAAAACAACAAAGACACGAACGAAAAACACTTGAAAAAGGAAAAATTCAAAAACCTGGCGTCCGAATTTGGGGTTACGTGCAGTGTGCAGCTTTTGGTGCATGTCGAGCTTTTGCACCACAGAAATTGCATCATTCGTGATTTTTACGCGTTTTACCTTACGAGATGGGTTGCAGTTGAC